ACCGAAACAATACGAGGAGGGGTGTTTTTTCGGTTGTCTAATCAATCAAATCAGGAGGTTATCGGTGATGTTGATCAAGCCGTTGAAGCTACGCTAAACCTGGTACCATCGCACTCAACACCTTCATCCGCCATCCAGAACTGGCACGTCGAAGATAACGATATTTGTCTTAAAGCTCGATACTCGAACCGGCTGCTTCTTAATTGGGACGGCATGACATGGTGCGGCACACGGCCTTTAATCGGGTGTCTTGACCACCCATAGCTCGGATCAAGGTGAGATGCGTCAATGTGTGCACTGAAGTGGACGGCAGAGCGTCGCCGAGACAAGCCCGGTATCCCTCAGGTTGCATCACAGAGGAACAAGATTCTACTAGCCTCAATCGCAGTTCATAAGACTTCTCACAGGGGAAGTACCCCGGAGTTGTTTGGACAGATGCCTTGAGTTGAAATCTGTGTGGACGGGACGATCTCAGTTCATTGCCTCGATGATGAATGCCCTCCCATGTTCTAGTAACACATTTGAACAGCTTGTCATCAGACGAGTGAAGCTCTTCGGCTTACAGTGGGATACTCATTAGATCCCACCTTGACCAAAGCATATATCACCATTACCGGCTAAACGGGAGTGACGCCGATATGGTGGCACCGAGGGGTAACATCCCGAAAAGCTCACGGATGTGTTCGAGGTCCAACGCAGATCTTCCTGAGAAGCCCCGAAGCTTGAAGTTGGTCTGGATACCACGCTTGATGCAACTCACTCTTGGTGTCTTGGCAAAGACTGCGACGCTACAACGTCAGGTTGAAGAGCTATCGTGGATTACCGCGGGGAAGTCATTAAGGCTGAACAGACAGACATTGCCATCCGCCATCCGTGTCTCCATCTGGAGTTCCAATTGCCTATTCGAGATCGGCCCGTCACTCTCGGCTCTTTTTGGCAGGTTCCCTGTCAGGCTGTATCGCACAGACTATAGCCCGCCTGGACCCCTACTCAACATCTGAAAGGTTGGGTTGGGTTGCGAATTTAGTCTGAACTCTGACGTCTTGATGCAACATCATGTTTGGAACGAACCAACATGTTTGGAGTACCATCATGACGGGATTCGTGTACTCGTACGATCTCATGTTCATGGCCACGCTGCGAGTTATCCATTTCGTAGGCTCGGAATCTTGCTTTCTCGCCTATTTCGCATCGGGCCGCGCGACCAGCAATCGTATAGATGTGATGAGTTGGCGTGCATCGAGGTTACAATCGGCGTCTCTTGTATCGGCCATGGAGGGATTTGAGTCCATGGTGTGGACTAGGAGGCTAGCTAAGTCTTAGACTTTGCTCAAGATGACGACGGTCCCATATGCAAGCTCATCGGCCTTATTAACGACTTTTATATCTACAAATCCAGAAGGAGTAAGTTGTCCTCTATCCCCGCAATCCAAGTGCCATGTGGCGATACAATGTCGTCACTTGCTAACAGCCATCGGGATGAAGTGATTCTCGCTTAGCAGGCGATGCACGCTACCAGAAGTCTTATGACGGTCTACGCTCCGAGACCGAATAGGAAGTGCTTGGCAATGCCGGTTTCGAGCTCTTAGTGAAGCTAATCCCTGCACATTGTAACATCGGGCCACTCACGACTACTTAGACCCTCGGACCTATATCATCCCTGCCGGCATCCCGCCGAAATACCCCGGCCACTTCGGACGTTCTAACAGTCGGGCCGTCGTTGCAGGGTGTGAGTGAGGAACTTGACAGGTGCCAGCTGCATCAGATCAACCCCCTGGCGTTGCGGAGACATGGTCGGCGACTAGACACCAAAAGCTTCTGTGCCGAAAACAGTGGTTGTGGAGCTTGTGTGTTGAGTGGGTTCTATCGTCTTAGGATAGCGCTGGGAAGAGCCTTTTCTTTCATGCGATGGAGGAACGTTAGCCGGAACCACGAGACAGCAAAAGAAAGGAGTCGAAGGAGGGATGGACGATCTGAGAAGGTGGGAAGAATAGCGTTACATCGGAACGACGTAGTCCTTTTCTCTATTTTGGATGAAAACCTCGTCTCTCATAAATGAAGTATAATATCCGTAAAATCCTCAAATACAGTCCCAGCTATTCTTGTCGCATAAACGCAATACAAAAACTGTCTGATGACATTCTCACATCGTTTAATATCCATTTTTGCACTCATACTGTAAAAAAAAACCGTCGAGCCATGCTGCTCCTGCCATTCTATGCAACAGCCTTGCTCTGCTTGGTCCCCTCTACTTCTGGCGAGCTCCTTGTTGGGTACGGTCTGGCTAGGTACAGTCCCGCATGTGCCTATGCCTGTAAGAACTCGGTGCCTACCATGGTAGACTGTGCCGAGTTCCAAGGTCTAACAGCAGAGGAGCTCGCTGCCGCCTCCCCGTCAGCCCAATGTCTCGCCAACGACACATCCTATCTCGCTACCGTTGCGTGGTGTATTCACGATCAATGCGACAGTGTCAATTTGTGGGAAATTGACCAGTTTTGGGGAACAAACCTGATTGAAGGCCAGAATGACGACGGTGTCGTTTTGAGATACACGTATCAAGAAGCCGTACAGAAGGTCGACCCAGGCGTCCTCCAACCTTTGACGGTCGACGATGTGTCACTCAACACTACCAGGCTGGTTCCAGATGACATCTATATTGCACATTTGAATGGTGTCTTGTCTGAGATCAGAGTAATCACGGGCAACTCCAAATACGCGTCAGTAATTATCAACGATTTCCACCCAACTGGGGCCTGACTAACTTGTGATCTCGTCGCCTAGTCTTATTGTCTTCCTTTCCGGCGTCATCATTCCGATCGGCTTCTCCCTTCTCCGACTACTGCCTGTCCCTACAAAGATGAGAAGCAAGTTCTACGCCTACCTCATCGACCCTCCTGCATTTGGGAAACACCATAGTGTGCCTGTCTTGGGACTCGGCTTTGTGCCCACTCGTGGTCAGGCATTCTTTATCTGCTACCTCATCGCAATCAACCTCGTCGCTTGTTTCACCGACTACCCCTACCTCACACCGAATGCCGACAGCAGAGGTCGCACGAATGACCTCAACAGATACATTGGCTGCCGTGTTGGTGCCGTTTGTCTGGCCAACATTCCGCTCGTTATCCTTTATGCGGGTCGAAACAGCATGCTGCAGTGGATGACCAACTGGTCCCACTCGACCTTTCTGCTTCTTCATCGGTGGACTGGCACAATATGCACCCTGGAGGCTGTTGTACACTCCATAATGTGGCTGAAGCGGTGGATCCAGAGACGGATCTTCGCTGAGCAATCAAAGCTGCCGTATTGGTATTGGGGTGTCATAGCTACTCTCTCTATGAGTCTTATCGTCCCCTTCTCCATTCTCCCAGTTCGGAAAGCCGGCTATGAAGCTTTCCTAGTCGGTCACATCTTCCTGGCTATCATGGCAGTTGTCGGTGCCTGGTACCACTTATTCTATTACTTCCAATCCACGCCCACAGTCGGGTACAACACGTGGATTTACATGGCCATGGCCATCTGGGGCTTCGATCGATTGCTTCGCTTGGTTCGAATGTCGAAGCATGGTATGAAGAGGGCGCACGTCACTGCAGTTGATGAGGAGCACATCCGTGTCGATATTCCAGGTGTTTTCTGTCATGGCTATTGCTATGTTTACTTTCCTACTCTGTCGTGGCGGATGTGGGAGAATCACCCCTTTTCTGTCATCAGCTGCAATCATGGGCATGTCAGGGCGCCCATATCAGAGCCCAGGAGCTCGCGATCAAATTTACAGTCAGATACAGATGGTTCGCCACCAGGTTTGGAACCTGGCTCCCCGATGTCGAAGGAGTTACAGATCGAGGAAAGACCTATTCCAGCTGCATGTGCCAGTCAGCAACAGTGTGGAATCACCTTCATCATTCGAGTTCATGACAGCCTGACTCGACTCCTCGCCACAAAGATTGGTGTTCTGGATGGAATACCGGTCCTTGTCGAAGGTAGTTATGGCCACGAAAGCAGGACGCATCTACAAAGCAGCCAGAACGACTTCGCGCCTACCCCGGAGTACCCCAACACCATTTGCATTGCAGGTGGTGTTGGAATTGTGGCTGTGCTACCTGCACTCGACAATGCTGTGAGCCTCTACAGTCCCATAGGAGCCACCAAGCTACATTGGGGAGTTCGACATCAAGGGTTGGTAGATACGATCGAGAGTATGCTGGCTGAAAAAGATAACTCCGAGTCGAAGTGGGGTCACATCGAGACGAACATCTCTGTCGGGTCGCGAATCAACGTCAGGAAGATCTTGGAGGACGAATTGTCCAAAGCCGGAGGTGCTGGTACGACGGTTGTTGCCTGCGGGCCACAAGCCATGTGCGATGAGATTCGATGCACAGCTGCAGGACTTGCGCGACATGGAGCGACGGTGAGGTACATGGAGGAGCTTTGCACTTGGTAATGGCAATGATTGGTCGTGCGACCTATCACAGTGTAGCCGCTTTGTGTAAGTGAGCGTTGCATTTGACGGCATCTAGTTGTTTGACGTACGACTTAACTTACTTGTTCATTGGTGCTTGGAGGAATGACCGACACGTACAAGGTACTTGAGGAGACCTGTATCTCGATATCCCCCGTTGTCGTAGCGCATTGGTTCTCCGTCGGGCTGTTGAGTAGCATTGATGAGTGATGCTGCAACGGGAGAAATTTGAGTCGAAATGTACGATGTGCAGATTGTACGTAATGTCTACTCATTCCTAGTCAGGCTTAGAATTCTGTGCAATATGAAGTTTTGATATGTTTTGCGTGAGCTCATAGTTGCACACTGGTGGTCCCCCCTCAGCTCAACCCCACTGTCGCAGCCCCATTTCCGACGCAACTCATGATCCCTCCTCACATTACACGACTTCATCCCCAATCCTCTGCGTCGAAGCCGGAAGTACTAGCCGCCTACCAATATTGCTCGCGCGCATCAAAAGAGAAGCAATCACAACGGACATGTCGCTCAAACTGGCAAAAAAGACTGGACGAGCGGGGAATTGAACCCCGGACCTTCCGCAAAGATGCAGCCGTAGCATTGATGCGAAGCGGACGCCATACCCCTAGACCACACGCCCTGCTATCCGTGGATGTTGGCCAGCAATTGTTTTCCACCATGTCTGACAGAATCATGGTGCCTCATGGGATGTTGCCGATCTTGATAGACCCTCGCTTTACGTTCCTGGCTGAGTGGGAAGTCGCAGCCTGTCAATGTCGAAACAACCCCCTGACATCCTTCTCAATTATTATGCCAGGCGGTGTGCTGACTCTAGTTGAGACAAGAAACTCTCTAAATTGCAGCATGTCAAACCAGGAGCCAAACACGCGTCTTTGACTACTTCATCAATGTCCTATGATTTTGAGTGTGCATTCGACTTACACCGTTTCCCTTTGTTTAATTACAGCGTCAAGCATCTTCGGCTAAGTCCCGTGTCGTGTATTACAAATCTCCCCTGTTGCTGACTGATGCTGACGCCCACGGAAGGGCCCATATCGGTTGGACACATCGAATGAAATCGTGCATAGTGTCCCGGGACTAGTAGTAGATGACCAGGGTGAGGAATTCTTGCTGTCATTTTCATGAAGAAGTCATCTATATCCTGCAGCTGCACCCGCAGATACAAAGTTGCCCTCTTAATGTCACTCCAATTTCGAGTTACATACCTGTCAAGTCAAAACTCTTTAAAAAAAAAAAAACACATTAAAGTCTATTTGTTCACTGTTTCCCATCATAACCCATATCCAATCCTAAAACGCCCCGGCCAGTTGTTTCCCTCGTATCTCATCTACCATAGCTTGACCAATCGCATTCAGATACCCCTCCGAATTGATAGTGCAAAAGGGTAATAGCATTCTGTTTGCCTCAACTATTACAGTCCCATACAACTCCCACTCTTCTCCGCTGCTGCTTGGTACTGAAGGTGAACCGGAAGAGCTCACAGAACCAGGGGGAGACATGGCCTGTTGAAGTGGTCGCACGTGCCACTCGGTCCAGCTGATGACGCCAGCGGAAGCGTTGCATCGACACCGTATGCCTGTCGCCGCGCGTTGGAAGAAGATGGGCCACTTGATGGGCTTTGTGAGACCAGGGCCTAGCCAGATGACCTCGTGACCTTGAAAGCAGCGAATGGGCTTATCCCTGCTCCGAGGCTCAAAGAAGGGATCATCGGCAATCTGATCAGGCTCAAAGGGGACTTCACTATAGTTGAGCATTCCTGGGTTGTGACGCAAGATTGGCTCAAAGGTCTGGATGTAGTCGAGCAATTGCTCATAGGGTACATCGCCGGGAATCGGTATTGCGGTGATTGCGCGGCTCTGTGCCCGCATCGCATGCTTGGGACCTTCTGGTAAGAGTAAGCCGACAGCTACTGGACACGGAAACTCGACCGATTGGTGTGCAAGCGAGTAGCCGACTTACTAGACGAGGTTCAATGTGGCGTTTTCCTGTCCTGCCTTATCCCGATCTGCGCGATTTCTTTGCCTCCTCGGGCGGCCGACCCTTCAGCCTCAGGTGGGGTCGAGAGGGGTTTGGAGCTAAAGATCCAAGCTCGTTCAGGGTCTGGAGAGGAACAGAGGAGGAAACTAGTCGCCTGTTGATCACTGGACGTGTGAGGAATGCTGCAGCACGCAGTAGGGGAATGTGCCGTAGGGCGTGAGCATGCGAAGGATGCAGCGGGGAGGGGGAGGGGGAGGGGATGAATCTGTCACAATGTGGCTTCCAGATTACCTTGCGGGGGCCGATGCATTGTCGGTGGGGGGTCAGGCTGAGGCATGTGACTCGCTTCGAGATCCTTGCATTGTAAGCGAAACGAAAGAAGAATGAAACATTGTGAGTCGATTTGTTTGTCACCGCTTTTATCTCTGGCATAATCCGCGTGGTAAATGTCGAGGGATCACAATGCACTGTACATCTTTCACCTAATCATCATCATCACGATCCCCAGAAATCACAGCGTTGAGGGATTTCTACTTTGATCAGTGAGACTGAGATTTGCAACATATCGGACTTCGATAAAGGGACTTCGCCTAAGAACATCTAATTCTCAAAACGTAGAACGTGAACAACAGTTGTCAATGGTGATCGAGATGGAAGTGTTCATATCTAGGATCTTTGACAATCGCTTCAATTGTTGTTGGCTGAGTATTTACTTCATCTGCAAAAAATCGGTGCATCGCGTCTAAGTAATTCAGTACACATATCGGAAGTTCAGATTCTTCCCATCAGTCTCATCCGATATCTCATCGTCTTGTTGGTGTTGCGCCGATGCGCTGGATTCCTGGAGCCTGTCGCGACGCCGATTCTCCATTATCAGGGAGACACGAAGAACCATCATCGTTACTGTTGCAATCCCAAAACAGATGGTGGTTGCCAAAAAGCCGCTCTATAATTGGAATAATCAGTTCAGATGATCCATGGAAGAGAAACGTTGCTAGGGGTGCACTCACTTCGTATTCTGGCGCCTCCCGTGGGAAGAAGAGGAATGGTCCAATAATGTTGCCTGCAGTGTATGCCATGAACATCATCGCCGAAGCAACACTCTTCTTTGTGAATCCGGCAATGTTGGAAGAAATCATTGACAGGCAAATGGGAAATCCGGCGGCAAAGGCGACAAACAACCAGAGTCCGAACAGCTGACTGCCCCGATTGGGACCGTAGCGAACCAAGATTGAGCCAGCCAAACTGTCAAACTGAGTTAGCTTGGAGGGACAACAGTTTTGTCAAAGCGATACTAACCTGATCAAACTCAAGGCCGAACCGACAATGGTTCTGTAGCCGTTGAATCGACTACACAAGTAACTCGACACAATGAGAAAAACAGCCAAAATGGCGCCCATCGGCATGTTGAGTAGATAAACTTGGAATCTCGTAAAGCCAAAGCCCGCCATGACAAGGCTACTGAACTGCACTAATGTCAGACACATGCACGGCTCGTCGCTTCAAGAAATCTTACCGTTGTGTGAGCTCCATTTGGAATACTAAACGTGAATTGGAACAGCATGAGCAACAAGACGTTGCGATCTGTCACCACCTCGCGAACTTGGTCCCACTTGAATGTGCTGTTCTTCATGCCCGTGTGATTGCTGCGGATCCGGTCGACGGCTTCGATGCGTTGCGTTTCGTCGAGAAAACGCGCCTTCTCGGGGTGTCTGGGAGGAAGATGATGAGGACGACGGCCCAAGCAAGGGTGATGAGGCCGAAGATGATGAAGAGCCACTGTAAAAGATTTATGTCAGGCGAAACCTCGAGAATTGGAAGAAATCAGGCTGACTTACCCGCCATGTATCAAAGGCTCCTCCGATGTGGGAGATTCCAAATGCAAGCAGACCTCCAAACATTGTGGCAATTGCATTACCGAGGAACCAGATCCCGTGTCGAAGAGGTTGCTCCTCGCGCTTGTACCACATGCCGGTGATGAGAGAGAACCCGGGAGAGATGGATGCCTCCGCAGCACCGAGGAAAAATCGCACAATCAATAGACCCTTGAAGTCCTGTACGGCGGCATGGCAAATCAAAATGATGGCCCATGCGAGGCTGTGCATAAAATGAGCGTTTGCCATTGGTATTGATATCGTGCTTGTCTCACCTTGTACCGGCCAAGTATTTTCCCAGCGGCAATCGGACCATCAGGAATGAAGCAGGGTAGCTGAAAGCAAGATAGCCAAAGTAGAACACGCTGCTGCACCAGCTGTACCGGGACCCAACGAGGTTCTGATAGTTGTTAGATCATTGCTACTGAGAGCGCTTCTGCGAGTTAGAGATACGCACCAAGTCGTCAATAATGCCCATGATCGAGGCAAAGTTCAAAGACTGTTTGTCAAGAAACTGCAACATGTACGAAACCAGAAGTAAAGGCATCAAACTAATTAAGAATTGGTCAATAAACAAGACCCCAGCATTGTATGACTATGCTACTTACCATTGATCAATTCTTTTTAGCACTTTGCGATTGTTGTGTGCTTCGCTCGAACCCTCCTCCATAGCGAGATCAAAATCTTGTAGACTGAGGACTTCGCCGACCTTGGGCAAGGGCTCGCCGTTGGACAAGCTTAGGTTTCTCATCTTTTCGGTTGTCATGATGGGGAGGAACAAATGTTCCAAGTAGAAAGGTAATGAAGTGCAGCGTCAAGAAGCTGAATCGCGTTGTTGAGAAGGCGAAAAAGCAGACGAAGGGACAGCCCTTGTTATGTAGACGACGTTGTCAGAGTGAAGCGTCAGCCAAGCCGAGACCCCATGGGGGCAGCGCATTGACAAGCCACAGATAACGGGAGGGTGGATGTCGAGTGTCATCCGAGGGCTGATGGACAGATCGAAGAGGAGGCCGCCACATCCACTCTCCCGTGGTTGATAGCCGTCTTGTCTAGCATGAAACGTTCGGCAAAGGAGGAGAGATGATTGGATGTATCGGCAAATATCACCATGACGTTCTGGACATGCTAGCGCGAGTCGACCTGGTATAGATAACAGACGGCTTCCGATTGGACGTGTCGGCAAATGCTGAGTTTAGTGGCATTGGATTCGAGTTAGGCGGGTCAGTCCTTGTCCGAGGCGTCTAAAAGGCGGGGGAAGTGGGTTTCGGCTCTGATATGGGGGTAAGAAGATAAGGCTGAGTGGGAAATCAGCCGAGATGTTGGATCATGAGTGGTATTGACTGATACGCTACCACGGTAGTGATAACACCTGGTTGATTTCGTGGAGTTAATCTCACAGCTGCGAGATGGTATCAATCATCGTCCACGAGCGGGTCCTTTCGACAGACAGGCCTTCGGTCGGGCCTAGAAACCGTGAACGAGTCTGGACAGCCAGGCAAAGATATGAGACCACAGGTATACACGTTTATCTCGTGAAATTGAAGTGACTCCAAGATTAGATTCTCGCTGAACAGTTCTGTTGAAGTATCTAACTAAAGCCTGCCGACAAACGGCTGAGCGTCCTGCTGAAACTCACTCCAAGCCTTCTCCGACAAGCTTCTCGACAACAACACGCTGCAAGCCGTGGCAGCCAGTCCTTTGCTACAGTCCAACGCACTCTCAAACGCCAATTTTGTGCCAGCAGCAGCCGCGAACGCTGAGGTATGGG